CCTGTATTCACTCAAAGAAAAGGAGGACTTGTGGCACCTTAGAGACTAACAAATTTATTATTCACTCAGCTACTCTGGCCCTGATCGTTGTGCACTCATCCAGGGATTGGCAAAACCTTTCCTGAAATCCTGAGCCATGGGGCATCTTGGGGTAAGTCTGCACTGCAATTAGCCACCTGCAGTTGGTCTGTGCCAGCTAATTTGCGGGCTTAGGGGCTGTTTAATTGCTGTGTTGACGTTGGGGCTTCTGCTGCAGCCTGAGCTCTGGGTCCCTCCCAGCTTGCAGGATCCTGGAGCGATGGTAGGAACATTAGGGAGGTGGGTTTAGCTGCCTGCACCCACTGAGAACACGTTAGGGAGGTGGATTTAAAAAAGAAAAAATCAAATTAAGATTTGTAGCAAGTGATTAAACTGGTGCCTTTAGCTGTGTTTATGGACACGCCAAAAGTAAATCGGCTCCTAGACTGAATAAATATTTTGCTCAGGCAGGCGAGATTTTCAGTTCATCTGTCTTAGAAAGACTTGAAGCGAGAGGGGAATTGATTTTCTCCAGCTTGAACAAAGCAAGCGGCTCTGAGAACTAGCCAGCTCGTGACGTCCCATTATCCGTTATAATGGGGAAAAAGCAGCTGGGAAATCATTGAAGAGAAAATGAAAAGGAAGGTGCCTTGTGCAGCTAAGCACAAGTCCTCCCCTTCCCCTGGCCTCTTTCCAGGTGTCTCCTTCTGAGAGTTTGCTGGTGCTGCATCTCCTGGGAATTCTCTGGTGGGGCTTTACCAGTCCTGACGCGTAATCTCGGGAGAGTGTTTGGTAAGGCTGGCTGAGGCTGTCCATTAGCCCCTGCCCTGAGGAGCAGTTGGGGGGGGTTCCACCTCGGAGCCGCTTCCTGAGAAAAAGAAAAGAGCCCGGGGGGACTGGTCCCAGTGATATGTTCCCTGCAGACCTGCTCTGGGGCTCTTCCCAGCCGCCCCATGTGGTGTCCCATCGGTGTGCTTTGGTCATAAGAACAGCCAGACGGGGTCAGACCAAGGGTCCATCCAGCCCAGTGTCTGGTTTGCCACCGTGGCCAATGCCAGGTGCCCCAGAAGGAATGGACAGAACAGGGAATCATCACGTGATCCATCCCCTGTCGCCCATTCCCGGCTCCTGGCAAACAGAGGCTAGGGACACCATCCCTGCCCATCCTGGCTAACAGCCATTGATGGGCCTATTCTCCATGAATTTATCTAGTTCTTTTTTGAACCCTGTTATAGTCTTAACCTTCACAACATCCTCTGGCAAGGAGTTCCACAGGTTGACTGCGTTGTGTGTGCGGGGGGAAAAAACTTTTTTGTTTGTTCCTTTTGTCATGCCCTGGAGCGTCCTCTCTCAGTGGTGTGAAGGAGCTCAGAACTACAGCAGACAGTTCTGCAGAAGGCCTCCTGTTAACACACAACTTACTGCCAGGATGCGTCCTCTGCTGGTGAGGAACACGTAACCCCTCCCTATGGGGAAAGCTGCTGAAAAGTTGAGCTCTGTTCCCAGACCTGCTGGGGGACTCTGGGCAAGTCTCTTTTCCCTCCCAACCTGTGTGAGGCGTGCACGTTGTCTCCAGGGTTGTGTTTGTACAGCACCTAGCGTGGTGTGGCCCCAGTCTCAGTTGTGGCCTCTTGGTGCTCTCTGGAATGAAGGGAATTTGGGGTGCCGAAGGGAATTTGGGGTGCCGAAGCAAAGTCCCAAGGTTTCCCTTCTTCCTGGGATGTAACTGGGGACATATGTGTAACCCACACCCACTCGGCAAGATGCTCTGTCCCCTTCGAGAGGGGTGTGGGCCTGTCACCGCCTCGGCTAACAGATGGATCTTTTCGCTCTGGCAGTGGACTCTCAAGTGGCAGCATCCAAAGGTCCTGTGTTTTCTCCATCTGCCCGTGACCCGGCCAGGTGTGCAGCGTTCCATACAGGTTGTTACATCTGAGAACTGGTTAAATACTTCTCTGGTCTGCCAGGGCCTCGGGGTAGCCGATCCCGCATCTGTACTGCAGCGTCTCTGGTCCTTTGCATGGTGGGTGCTGACCAAGCGGGTGCAGGGCTGGCTCATGGGGTGATGCTGACCTGGATGCACATGTGTGCTGGTGACTCGGCTATTTCCAGTAATCGAGGGCGTGTGGGGAGGGGGAAGGTTGGAGGATTTGTTTCCAGTCACTAAAGTCATGGATTACAAGCTGCTTCAGACTCGACTGCTTTGGTGGAGACCAGTTGGGTCCAGTGCCCCTCCCGGTGTGCGCTTGTAAATGGTGTGTTAAAAGGTTCTCCGTGTGGCGTGCTTGCCCTGGCACTAGGTTGTTCCAGAGTAGGATTCCCGTTCAAACTGATAATAAATTCCAGCCAACGCTCGGTATTTTCAGACATCCGTTACCACTAAGACAAGGGCGTAGTGCTACCCCTTCACAGTAAGGGCTGTCAGGTCGGCATTAAGTATGGGCAAAGGCTCGTTAACTGCAAGCACCCACAGGAATTCCAGGGCTGCCCGGTGTCTTTGGTTAACCTGTGAGCTGTTAATCAATCCCCAAAGAAATGCTGTTTTTTAAGTACACAGGCAGTTTCTTTCTCCTCCTTTCCCAAGCTGTCCATACCCAAGGCCCTTTAAGGACAGGGTCAGAGGAATAAACACACTGTTATCACCATTGTTGTCTGTCATAATTAAAGCATGTCAATTACCACAACCGTCCTCAACTTTCTTCTCCTGCTGTCTGCGAGCTTTGATCCCGTTGTATGGGAGTGGATGGGGAATGATCTTGTGCTCCCAGCGTCCTCTGCCCGTGTTCCACTTCCAAAGTACCCCAGCAAATTAATTGGCTTGATGGTTCTGTATCATTTGCTTTGTAGAGATGATGCAGGACCAGCTGCAGGAATGATGCAGGGTGAAATTCTCCAGCCTGAATTATGCAGGAGGTTAAACTGCATGATCATAGTGGTCCCTTATGGCCTTAAAAGTGAGGACTCGGTGCTCACTGATTTCTGTTCTTTTGAGTTGTGGATGGAGCTAGTTGCAATATTGGTGGTCGGGCTGCCAAATTTTAAACAATGCCAGCCGCTTTCCGTTTGCAGGGTTTGAAACCGGCCGACCTTCCTGTGATTTGAGGTTTTTGTTTTAGCAGAATGTTGGCTTGAAGATTTTCATTTTGAAGCCCTCCCCTTCCTTCTCCCTTTTTAAGTTTCCTTTTTCGCCACTGAAAAAAGGGGCAAGCGAAAGGAAAAGGGATAAGCTGGGAAAAAACCCACTAACATTTTGTTGAAAAAATGGAAAATTTAAAAAGAAAAAAAAGTCAAACATTTGTGCTAATGTCTGAATTCGCAAGGAGAGCTCTGTTTTCCAGGGAACACGTTTATTGTCACAAAATGTTGATCGGCTCATGGTGACTGACTTGCTATTAAAGGTAGACACCGCTGTGGGCGGTTCCAGTGTGGCTCTCCCAGATTGCCCCAGAACAGTCCAGCTGCAGAAGGGAACAAGACTCCGGCATGTGAGTCGTCAGTCCCGTTTTCATGGCACGTGGGTTTTCACACCCAGAGTGCTCACCCATCCCGCTCCTGCACCGATCCACCATCTCAGGTGCCGTGGCACGGATAGCGCTTGTTTCTTGCATGCTTCAAGTTGCCATAGGGTGCAGTGAATGCTGAAATCTCCAGGGCACTTTGGAGCCAAAATGCCATTTTTGCTCACTTCTTTGCCTTAAAATCCGTCTGTTCCAGAGCTGGGATCTATGGGAAGTTTAGCCTGGGCCTGATGCTGAGTCCTGTGCACGTGAGGAGAGGAGTTTGCAAGGCTGCGTATTCTGTAACTTGCTTGCTGCTGTCTGGGCTCCCTCCCCAGTGCTTTAGAGCTCTTCTTATCCACCCTTTGGAGGCTGAAGTTTGTTGTATTTGAGCCTCTGAGCTCACCTCATGCGTTATAAAATCACGAGACTTTGCAAACAATTGATGCTGTTTCTTTGCCTCCTGGCCTTTGAGCCTGTCAGGAATCAGGCAGTCAAGCTTTCCTCCGTAACCCCAAGGGCTGGAAATGTGCTGCTTTTTGTAAAGGAAAGCTGAGAGTCTCATGCAGTCACCTAACTCCAGCAACAGGGGTTTTAAGAGAAACCTTGAACAGCAGGAGTCTTGGGATAAAATCACAGGAGTTGGCAACATGTGGCTCGGTTTGCTTTCAACCACAGGGTCCCGTCTGCCAACCCTATCGGGTGTGCAAGGCTGCAGCAGTTCCACTCGAGACAAGTCCTTATCTGATACCTGGTGAGGTTCATGTCCTTTATTACTTGAATTTTGGGAGCACCAAATGGCCCCAACCAGGACCAATACCCCAGTGTCCTGGGTACCCCACGGACACGTAGGGAGAGGTGGTCCCACCCCCAAAGAAGATCCTTGTTCTGTGAAATAATGCATGTTATTTCCCAATAGAAAAGCCTTGTGTCTGTGGCGCGTCTGAGCAGCTAAAATCGGAGTTGTGCGTCTAACGCTTTGGTGCTGTCGGATGTGCTTATGGATCCACTTCTTGTGGACAGGCTTTGCCAGAGCCACCGGGCAGTGTCTGCTGAGTGAGATGTTACAGAAGCAACCGTGCGTGGCCGTTCAGTGCTCTGCGTGGGCCGGAACGTGCCGGCATCTCTGGAAACAACAGGTGCATCCATCGTGCAGCTGACAGGCAGGTCTGTGCCGTTGTTTCTGGTCTGGAATATTACCTGCCCGTCTGGCTGTGCCGGCCGTTCCCCTGTTCCATTCTCTCCCCCGAGTGCCGTGCGTGCGGATCGGGTGAGGAGGGCGAGGTTTAAGTTCGGGCTGACTCCGATCTCAGACTGGATGGCCTGAAAAGCAGCTGAAAGCTTAGGGAGCGACTGGGAGTAGTGAGTGACTGTGCCCAGCAGGGGTTTGCAGAGTGAGTTCTGTCCATGTGGTGCTAAAAAAAGCCACAAGATGAGCAAAATTATCGACTGAGTCACAAATAATTCACCCGCCGCTTTAGTCACCAGCGGATTCTAACCCGGCATTAAGTGTGCTGCTGAGGGTGCATAACCTGAATTCTAATCATGTTAAACTGACGTGACTGAAGGAAATAAAGGGCTGCTCTGCCGTCCGCAGCTCCAGCTGGATCATCGGGCTCCATGTACGACCCGCTGCCGCTGGAGATGCTCAATTAACGATGATCCTTAACGAGGAGCGCTGATTAACAGCACCGGAGGAGGCATTGTCAGGAGCCGAGGTGCGGCCCTTAAATAGGGGAGGGATGGTTAGGCAGGGGGTGTACTGCCAGCCCGGCTTAGTGTTGTCCTGCTGTTCCCTCGCGCGCCCCCCTCCGTCTGTGTCCGCCTGTCTCTTGTCGTTCGATGCGGGCTCTTTGGGGTGGGGACCGTCTTTCCGTGTGTGTATGTGTGTGCGGTGCCGAGCGCGGGGAGGTGCCCGTCCCCACCCGAGGAGCTGCTGTGACTTCAATCATTGAGATCCGAATCCGAAGGGTGAAGGTGGGTTCTGGATTTCTAGACAAATGCTTTTCCTGCTTGAAGGAGAGGAGTGGGATAAGTGGGGAGGGAGCTGTCTGGCAGTCAGGGCTCCTCCGTTCTCCTCCTGCCTCGGGGAGGGCTGCGTGGTCCACAGCTAGAGCGAGGAACGGGTAATCGTGGTGTTCGGGTTCTAGTCCCGGCTCTGGGAGGGGAGTGAGCAGGGCGGGGGGATCAGGACTCCTGGGTTCTAGTCCCGGCTCTGGGAGGGGAGTGAGCGGCCAGGACTCCTGGGTTCTAGTCCCGGCTCTGGGAGGGGAGTGAGCGGGGCGGGGGGATCAGGACTCCTGGGTTCTAGTCCCGGCTCTGGGAGGGGAGTGAGCGGCCAGGACTCCTGGGTTCTAGTCCCGGCTCTGGGAGGGGAGTGAGCGGGGCGGGGGGATCAGGACTCCTGGGTTCTAGTCCCGGCTCTGGGAGGGGAGTGAGCGGGGCGGGGGGATCAGGACTCCTGGGTCGCTCCCCCACCCTGCCGGCACCTCCTGCTATGACTGCAGGAGGGTTCCTCCGCTCCCTGTTGTGGGGCTGCACAGCGGTTATACGAGTTGCCCCTCCTCTTGGGGAGCACATTGTGGGCTGCTCGAGTTGCTTCCCCACTCTGAGGAGGAAGGAGAGATTATTGCTCAGGTGTCAACAAATGGCGGCAGCTGAGACGGTCCGTGGCCCCCCCAGACCCCACTTTCAGTGAACCCGCTTACCCAGCACTCCGCAGGTGGGAGAGCGTCGTGCCAGGAATAGCTCACGTGGGCCTGGCAGGAGTGGGGGCGAGAACGAAACCCACCACAGGCTCGGAGAGGGCCCAGAGGCCGAGTGCAGGGGCGGCCCCGCCGCTTGGGGGTGCTGGGCGCTCACCGGAGAATGAGACCACGACGGCTGCAAGAGCACATGGGAGGGAATCGGCTCCGTCCACATTTGCTGACAGGGACCGTCTTCCGCCCCTGGGGAGGGACCAGTCGGCGCCTGATCACGTGGAGGGATCCCCTCTTCACCCTGTTTGCTGCGTGTGTCCTGGCTGTGAGGGCTGCTGGGAAACCAGAATTCCGCTTGGCGGGAGATTTCGAGGTCTCAGGGTTGGATTTTGTCCTGCAGCAGGACGGCACTGAGAGCTTTCGATGGTTCTGGTTAAAAACTCTTTCTTTCCCTCCCAGGATAGCCCAGCGGCGAGGGCGCTCCCCTGCGAGGTGGGTGAGCCAGGTTCAAGCCCCTGCCACAAATCCAGCAGAGCATGGGCTTGACCCTGGTTCTCCTGCATCCCTGGTGAGTGCCCTAGACAGTCCTGGGCTGGGTTTGTCTCTCTTCCACCTCCCACCCCGGAATTCCATCCCGAGAAACCTTCCCGGGGGAAGTTGAGTTGAAACCGAGGCTTTTCCATGAAGAATTTCAACTTTGAGGAATTGGCATTTTGGATTTTAAACATTTTTTTGTTGAAAAATTCCTGACTAGCTCTTATGGTTAGTTTTCTGTTGGTTCTGTGGTTAAAGTAGGAAACTGGGAGCCAGGACTCCTGGGTGCTGTTCGTAATGCTTCGGCAAGGAGTGAGGTCTTGTGGTTACAATAAGAGGCCAGGGAGTCCGAGCTCCTGGATTTTATTGCCAGCTCTGTAAAAGGACCATGCTCAAGTGGCTAGAGCCAGGGGGCTGAGAGTCCGGATGCCTGGGTTCTGTCCTGTCTTCTGGTCAAATATTCTCTGCGTGATGCTGGGTGAGTTGCTTTCCCTCTCTGTGTCTGTTCCCCCATAGAAGTGACAACACCCCTTTCACAAAGGTATTGGGAGATTTAGTAAATGAATGTTTAAAGTGCTTTGAGATCCTGGGATTGCTGGTAATTTGGAAAGGAGACATATTAATATTATTGTCTGCTTCATTATTAGTGACATTTCACTAACCTCCCAGCCGTTCCTTAGCTTTGCTTCATGGCCACTTGCTTCTGATGCTTAAGATCCAGGGAGTTCCTCATGGCTCTGCTCCATTCAGAACTTTGTAACCTACCTAAACCAGCAGAAGCTCCCGGGATAACTTTGCGGTGGAGCTGAGCGGTGTTGTCCCTGGAATTGGGAGTGTCTGCGTTTGATACATCGGGCTGCAGCATGAAGCTGTTCTTGTCGCTTTTTACCCAGTTCCGATGAAGACTAGTTACTCCTAAGAAGTCCCTTTTGATTGATAATTTTGTAAGTTTTATTGTTTGTAAGTGGAAGTGCTTGGGGTTAAATGTAGGACAGGTCAGAATGTTCCATTAGAAATGTGTTTTGATGAAAAATGACTTTTTCATCCAAATTGAAATTTTGCAGACAATATCCATTTTCTATGACATGTTCCGATTTTCTTGAAGGCTTCCCCCTCCCTGAAACCTCCCCCCCCCCCGCCATTTTTGCTGGCTGAAAACTGTTTTGTTTTGATGAGAACATAAAAACTTTTGAAGAAAAATTTCAGTGAAACCAAAAACAGTTTTGGTTTTTCATTGCTTTTTTTTTTTTTTTCTTTTGGCAGCTGTCGTAAAAAGCTTTCTGAAAAATTCCTGGCAGAGGCAAGTGCTGCGTAGGCCCCTGGGAACCCCAGGGATGGGGCATTGTATAAAACCCTGAGCAGAGTAGGTTCAGGTCATCCCAGGAACGGGATTTTTCTAAGTACCTCTTCAGCACCGTCGGCAGCCCAGCCAAAATGAACAGCTCATGGATGGGGCTGGGCGCCTCTGCCAGCCGCCTGTCACTCCAGGCAGGAAACACTGTTGGTGAGCGATGGGAGGAGAAAGAGGCACAGGGTGTAGCTTGTAAAACCATGCTCTGAGATACGTGCCCCAGCAGCCCAGAGGGTGAGTGCTCCCAGCATCGCTGTTGTTTGTGGGAAGGAAGAGGCAACAGCTGCAGCCTGGGTTGGGAGGCACCAGGAACCACGATGGTCTGTCTTGACGGCTGTTCGATACCCTCAACGTGGGATGGAGCCGTGGGTTTGATGCGGTCGGTAGCTGGCAGGTGGGACTGGTGCAAAGCTCCTGGCTCCATGGGTTGAGATGGCCCCTCTAGGTCAGGACTGAGGCATGTGGGCTGCTGTCCATATCTTCCCTGTCCTGGGGCTCATGAGGGTCTTTCGTTCTTAGCACACACAGCACGGCCTCCATGGTGCCTTGCTTTGGGTCTAACGGAGGCTGCTGTCTCTGTGACCCCCATTCTGACCCCTCCAGCGCCAGTCGGAGCTGCTCGTGCATGCCAAGAGACCCCCGGCTCTGCAGCTGGTGGCTCTAACAGGCTCTTGTCCACTCTGGTGCCTCAGCAGGGAGAGGGACCTGCAGGGCAGGGTCATCTGCTGGCTCGCGATATCCACAGACAGCCCCGTTCAGCCTGGCGGCCGGGGGACTACAGCGGGCCCAGCATAATTTCTGCTCTGTGGCCCCGTTGCTCCTGCCTCCTGCTTTGAACCGTTGCTGACGGTGTCTCCTGGTCTCTGATCCCAGCTTTAAGAGCTTCCTTATTCCGCTTGTCCCTGCGGCGTGTCAGAGGGGCTGTCTCAGGGCAGGGAAGAGTCCGAAAAGGCCGGTTTGTGTGGCTGACTCGTTGCAGCGTTTTCAGGCTTGGCCTTCGGGTGTTTTCCTAATGACAACGTCCTTCTTGCCCCCCCATGCCTGGCACCGCAGACAGCCCTTGGCCTCTGGGCTCTGCTTGAGGCTCTCCATTAGCCCCTTCTGCCTTTTGGGGGCCTCCTGCCCGTGACTCGGGCATGGCTAATCAGGGCAGTGCTGCAGCCAATCCAGCCACGCACTCACCCGCCCTGGGCACGCTGCAGAGAGGAGTCCATGGGCGGCCCCTGTTCAGCCTGGCCTCTCCTTGTGAGGGAGAAGAGGGGCCCGTAGAGTGCAGTGCTCCTTAGACGCGAGGCTCTCTTTGGGGGCGTCTCCGTGGGACTGCCTGCCTGTCTCCCTCCCGTGTGTATGCTCCCATGCGCCCTTCCGAAGCTCAGCTCCCTGCCAGAGCGGAGGAGCCCCAGATCGGCCAGTACGTTAGCTTTCAACTCCATTGGCGCTTCCCCTCTCAAAACAGAAATGGGGGGGCTCCACACATTACTCCCACCCGCCCCCCCCTTCCCCACCAGTCTCCCCCCAGCCCAGACAGCAGGAAATCCCCCTGCAAGCCGCTGCGGCGGTTCTGGGTTTGGTGAAACGTTTGCAGCCCGGAGCTGATTGAGTGGCGACCTCTCACCACGGGGCACCTGGCGTTGGGGCTGGGCAGCCCCTGGGATTCCCAGCTGGGATTCCTGCCTGTAGCGCACACATCAGATGCAGTTTACATGATTGTTTCTTGGCTGCCTGCGCCCATTCTTGTCTGTGCAGGTGGCATGGTGCCCACTAATGAGCTGGTGCAGACCCTTGGCTCAGGCAGGCCCTGCTGCCTGGTGACAGTGCATCCCAGGACAGGGAACAGGGCTTCTGAGCAACCTGCCAGGGGCTCTGCTCTGGCCGCTTCACCTCCATCCCATTGTGTTTCCAGGTGCCTGTCACATGTGATGCATGGACCGTAATCTATTTGCTGTCCCAGCATTCAGGCTGCTACATCCTGCACTTAGCTGGGGCGAACAGCTGATGGGCAGCTTACAGCAGTATATCGGAAAGGCTTTTTCCTCTGTTGTGTCCAGATGGCATGGACTGTCCCCGAATATCCTTTCTCCATCGTCACTAACTGGGAGCATCCGGGTGTGTCTGCGTGAGCCGCTCTCGCCCA